TGCCCCAAGTCCATCCCTGTTCTTTCATTTCTTTTCTACTGACCGCCGCTTTGGTCGCCCTCTGTTTCGTTTCCCTGGTGGAGTCCATCTTAAGGCTACCCTCAGTATATCTGATGTTTCCATTCTCAAGACATGGCCAATCCATTTCCATCGTTTCTCTTTAATCTGATCAGATATGGCAGCTGTTTGTGTTCTCTCATACAGCTCCTCATTACTGATCTTGTTCGGCCAAAATATTTTTAGTATTCTACGGAGACATCTTGTTTGGAAGGTGTCTAGTTTTTGAGTGATGTTGTTTGTCACCTTCCAGGACTCAGATCCATATAAGAGGACTCCAATGACATTTGTTTTAAATATCTTTATTTTTGTTTTGGTTCTGATAGTTGAAGATTTCCAGATGTTCCGTAAGTTGGCAAAGGTGGTATACGGGCTTTTGCAATTCTATTTTCAACATCCAAGGTGGAATCTCCATTGGCTGTGATCTTGCTGCAAAGGTATATAAAATTGTCTACTTCAATTGTGTGTTTTGCTTACGATATATTTTAAAACTTTAATTGACACATTAAAAGAAAACTTTATATTGTCTTACTTTGAAAGCAAATAAACGTCCATTTCTTTTCAAAACACGTTGTGTTCCTGTTCAAAGTAATTTAAGATTCAGATCTAATTTTAGTACACAAAATATTTTTCTTTAACACTTATATAGGATTGTTACCTTTAATTCACACAAAACAGAAATAAGAATTAAAATTTGATGGTGAGGCAGCCCCTTGACAACGGGCTGAGACAGGGATATCTCAGCCCTGAGGGCGAGACAGCCCTAGTTCCCAGATGCTGTCTCAACTAGTTCAATATGTGCCTGTATCAGGGCTGATACACTACTAGGCATATGATATATAAAAGATTCTTTCTATTTAATTATCTGGCTTAAGGAAGTTTATTGAGGAATCACTGTTTAGTTTGTGGGTATGCTGCATGAATTATCCAACCTTTCCAACTATCGTTGATGTTCCTGGCATAACAAACTAGACAGTGATTCCTTATATTTACATTTATATGTGAAATAAAATTTAAATATAAATTTAAAAATGCTGTCTTGTAGATTTAAATACACGAGGCCTCACATGTTAATTTCAATAGTCACCGCCCACTGACGTCAGACACAAACACAGCCGCACGAGATTACCATGCATACAAGGCTCCTGACCTTTCACCCGGCGAAATTAACATTCCGGTTGAATTATCAAGGAATCAATTCACCTAACTTTCAAAGAGTTATCACAGAGAAAACAATTAGAAATGGAAATATTAGCTATATATTCGTTCCAGTTGAACATGACCTTCAACTAGAAGATTAGAGTAAAACTTGCTTTCAACCCTCCCGCCCAAAATATTCAAGGTTTAGCTTTTAAGTCACCTAGAACACTACCATGTTTTAATTTATTTCCAGTTTAGGTCTAAAGAATTGTGTGTTGGAAACGACAGTTTTACAACGAGTCGGCAATATTTCTGCCATACGTGATAAATTTAATGAGATACAGGCAGGTTTTGAAAGTATTTTCAAAGTGGTTTCTATAGCGGCCCCCAGTGAGCCTACTTTTTTTCAAAAAACAGAAAAACGTTTTTGTGGTGGTGCGAAGGGATTGTAATCCTCGACACAATGCATCGTTTAACATCCCATACGACTAACTTGAAATTTATGAATCGCTACAGTTAGAATCTATACGTGATTACAAACCTATTTAAAAATATACGTGTACGTCTTTCTAAATCTTATTGTAAAGGTAGGTTTCGTGTAAAAACCGTTACAGTATACGAGGTTCATTCATTAAATAATGAAACTGGATACAAAAAAATATGACGCAACCTTAAATTCAAATAATTTATTACATTAATTCTTCAAAATATCCTCCGTTTACTTTAACAGACTTTTCAAGTCTCTTTATCCAAGACCAGAAAGCCTCGGCATACTCATCCTTATGTATACCTAAAAGGCACTGATAGATGGCACTTCCAATGGCCGATCTGGAGCTAAAGCGTCTTCTGGACAGCATTTTCTTACGTTTAGGAAAGAGAGAGAAGTCGTATGGACTCAGATCTGGCGAATAGGGCGGGTGTTGTAACTGTAATTCTTTCTTTCCTCAGGAACGCGCTTTAACCTCTTTATGTTTGCGCGCGGCAGTATTGTCATGCAACAAGTAAATTCCACGAAGGCCCGTCTTTGGGCGTCTTTCACAGAAAATATATTTCACTACATCCAGTATTCTGTTTTTGTAAAACAAGCCATTGACGGTTCTTCCTTCGGGTATAGGAATTTTAACGATTGAATTTCTAGAGTCAAAGAAAATGCTATACAAAACCTTCTTTGAACTCTTACGACTTCTAGCAATAACGGGCCTTCAGCTGCATTTTCTAAGCCACATTCTATTATCTACTTTTGTCTGAGGCTCAAAATAATGGACCCAGGTCTCATCACCTGTTATGATGCTGGATATTTTTTTGTCACGATTCTTAAATGATTTAAGGAGTTCTTTCATCATTTTTACCCTTGTTTTCTGTTGTTCCTCAGTGAGTAAATGAGGCACCCACCTGGCTGAAACTTTCCTAAGATTAAAATTTTTTGTCAGAATTTTGTGTGCTGCTCCCGTTGAAATCTGGAGGACTCTTGTGACGTCTTCTACTGTGTGTCTTGCATCTTCTGTTATCATTGTACTCAGAGCATCAATATTTCTTTGGATCATCACTTTTTGGTCGTCCTGTACGTGTTCGATTTTCAAGACTTGTTTCTCCGTGTTTGAATTTCTTCATCAATCTACAAACTGTACTGTAAGAAATTACACACTTCCCATCTTCCCATATATAGCAAGCATCTCTTTGTAGGTGCCTTTCAATGATTTCCCTAGCAATACACAGTTTTTCATATGCGCCCGCATTTTCATTTTCACCTGAGAGGCCATTTTGAGCTGAAAGTCCCTCAGTGTAGTGACCATGCCGTTTTTGAATTGTAAGAGCTTTATGAATACGAAAGCAAATTTCGTGCAGTTTTCGACGAATGAGAGAGAATGAATGGAATTTATTGGCCATGAAAAGAGAATCTAAAAATACTATAATGTATTTTTTATGAAAAACGTATAATTGTACGAACACTAAATGTGTTTAAATAATTCTGGCATTGTCTGCACATTGTTGAAAAGTGTACTTCGTAAACCAAAATTAGACTTTGCTTACATGATTGATTATATGCTTGCAAACCTTTTCGCATAAGGACATGTTCTGCCCACTAGAAATTATTGCTTAGTGTGTTCGAGTATTTTCCGCATGCGAACTAGATGTAATAAAGATGCTAATTTCATTATCCTCATCAGTTTTATTGACATATAATAGCTAGAATAGATTTAACCACACTATAGTCGCCTTAATCTTGCATAAATCCTCTTTATAGTTAGCTTAAACCTTGACGGATTACTACACTGCATCAAAATCATTCAATCTCTGAAAAATTTTAATAAATGTGGTTGTTATTTATGTTTTACAATTTGAGTGACTCAAGTGACCTAAAAACTATGACTTTGGTTTTTTTTTTTTTTTACTTCTGTAATAAATCTCGCAGTTTTGAAACAACAGCTCAAAAACCTTTATTGATCAAACCGTAGAACTTGACATCCTTCAAAAAACATGAATGTTTTTTTTTTTTTTCAGTTATGAAACAAGGTAAATGATACCAAGGTGTACATCCCTTTACTGTATCCTTTTGTGGTTTTTAAAGGGGTTATGTAGAATATCGTACATATTTCATAATTTTATGCTAATTATATAATTAACGTTTCATCCGTAGAAGACGCAAATCCTGATGTGATTAGATTTGTTTTGTATCGCTTATATTATATCCAAACAGGGTCAAGTTATAATTAGTTATTGAAAATTTCATGGAACATCAAATGTCAGCTATAGAATCTATCTACCGTAACATTTTAATACATGTATGCACATTAAACTGTTCTTTTTTTTATAACTTTTCTTTGAAGATGAAATCAATAAATTAAATTTTTGTATGAAACTTGACCAGTACTTAATACATGTAATGCCGACACTGACTTGGGTCTTACTTTTAGCGTTTTGAATAATCAGTTTAAACGCACTCAAAATTAAATAGGCTTAGATGGATGTTTATAGCATCCTTTCGCTTACAGTACGTTGTTTTTAATCCCAACAAAATTCGGTTTAGCTGACTGAATATTTTGCAATAACAATTAACAGATTTTCTGCCAAAGAATTTATGATGTTGATTAAATGTGTGTGTTATTCTCGTTAAGAAAAATATGTTTATAGCCATGCACAAAACGGAACCATTATATTTGCATAATATGAAAACAAGAAGATTGGACTCAATAATATGCACTCAATTTATTCTGATACACTCATTTAAGAATCTTTTAAATTAGAAATATGAAGTTATAAGATAGAAACACAATTTTTTTTCTTGCAAGAGTTGTCATCATTTCTTACATGCATGACGCCTCACTTTTGTCGAGATGAAATATATGCCTATTTACGGCACATCTAGTGGTCTATGAGCACCGCATCAGAAACAAGTGTCAGACCAATATCTGGAGCAAACTAGTTCCCACTACTAATAAAATGGTCCAGTTTTATCGACTCTGATATTGTTGTCGTAGATCAATGGCCCCGATAGTGTCATATTAATTCCAACATCTTCACTAGACCCTGGCTTAATTTGTGTTCTATCAACTGTCCTTAGATATTGGGTTTATGTTGAATAAAAAATTTTGCGTCTTACCGCAAAACCTCTAAACTCTGTAAAAATAAGATTTTTTGTTTCAGTCTCTGACGTTGTTAACAATTTTATGGGAAAATATAGAGATTCAATACATTGCAAGGAGATTCATAGAAAATTGCCCATTGTTGCTTAGCAACGCCTGGTTAAAATCAATCAGATGAAGGCATTGGCTTTGAGTTCTTTGTCGTCTGTGGTATGTAAAATGACGTGCTTATAGCTGAACGACAGTTCTGCGACGTTCTAGCGGGCGGTCAGAGGAAACATTGTACACGGTGAGTCTTAGCAAATATCATACTATTCAAACATCAATCATTCCTTGTTTTCATATTCTTATGGAATAATTTGAATACAGTCAAGTTTGCTTAATTCTTGCTTTGATTTTGCAATTGAGTATTGACATAATTTTTCTGCACCTATTTGATAATTTTTGTCTTGCGATTTCAATGAAAAAATTCTTATGAATGTTAAATAATTACAGTAACTTTAAAATATGCACCATATATATACTTGCACATATTTTTCACTGTTAATTGATGGCTAGACCAGACAAACCGCTTGATACTCCGTGAAAACCATAAACATTCAACAAGCTTTCCAATAAAATTGTGGCAATTTGAGGGCCAAGTCCCATATAAAAACAACATTGCATTTTTAAAAATCTTTTAAAATATATATCGCAACGACGAGTAGTACATGGTTGTGGGAAAACGCAGGATAACCTTTACTGAAAAGGGAATTCGTCTTGAAATATCACGGTTAGAATAACGCAGCGGGTGCAAAAATAATCAACAGATTTTCTTAAAATCACACACACTGATAATGCATTGAATTATACCGACCACTTTGAAATCTTTTATAAAGTATTGCTCATTACTCATGATATGTGAAGCACCTGTAAAGGGGCATGGACACAAACTTGAAGTTTATATCCTTCAAAATCTAAGACTGTACTGATTTGCACTTTGCAAGAGCGTTTCAGACCAAATAATAATAATAATAATAATAAAACGTGGTTAGATACTTCAATTATCTTACATTTATTAAAATATACATTCAGATTTATTCGCAATTAGAAATTTTGGTAAATTTAATTAAAAGTCTTCTGTCGCTTTCGATAAACAGTAATATAATTCGCAAAAAGAAGAAAAAATGGAGTACGATTGGCGGATCCGGCAATTTTTAATGAAACTGACAATTTGATACAGAGTCATTAGTACAATATTCAATCAAAACATGATTTAAGTAAAATAAAACAAATAAGTTGTGATCACTGATTAACAAACATTGATGGAAATTCAAGTGGCATAACATCGAACCCGATACTAAAAAGAAAAATGAGTCTGCATGGAATAACCTCATGAAAATAAAAATAGTTTTAATGTGAATGGGCATGGAATAAACGTATAACATTTGATACTATAAATGATGAATATAATTATCTAATAAAATTACTATTAGTGGGTTAATATATTCGATTCTTTAATCCTTGATGAAAATGGAAACCGCGCATCATGGAAACGAACGCGAAGTGCAGTATGCACATGTATATATACAACCAAATTTGCACCAGAGTCCTTTTGTACTAAACCAAACTCTTGAATGTGGAAACGCAGAGAACTATGGGTAGTATGATATAAATGTACACCAGGTATAAAAAAATTGGTAACATGAAATTAATGAATATAATATCGTTCAAGTGTCCGATACTGTAGCTCTACTGGTTTAAACTGTACCTGTAACAAACGATGAGAAAAGTAGCACTTGCACTGAAACTATGAAACGGAATAAATAGAATAAAGCCTTGGTTTAGTCCCATTTAGTGGAAAGATTTATTGCTGTTGGAGAAGTAGACTTTTGAAAGAATTTCATAGAAATTTCTATTTTTGTAACAATGGCAAGACTTTTTCATCAAAACACGACTCACAGAGTAATCTACTTACATGTATGTGTAAAGTGATATAAATATCACACCAAAACTGAAGGAGGAGTAGCATTTTGAGAGTATTTCACAGAAAATTCTATGTTTAGTAACCAACAGTATTAATCGAAATCAAAAAACCTAAACACAGAATTAAACTTATCTGAGTTGAAATCAGACCAAAACAGTAGGAGTAGTGTTTTAAAAGTATTTCACAGAAATTTCTATTTGAAGTAACCATGGCAACAACGCTCGTAAAAAAATAAAAACCGACGCACAGAAGTAAGTACCTCAATGTAGATTACTAGTGTTCCAAATTATATTGAAATCAGACAAAAACTATAGGAGGAGTAGTATTTCGAAAGTATTTCACAGAAATTTCTATTTTTAGTAAGAACGGCAACAACATTCACCAAATCAAAAACCGATGCAAAAAATTGTGCATATTTGTGTAGTCTACTTGTGTGCCAAGTTATATTGAAATCAGACTAACATTGTAGGAGGAGTAGCGTTTTGAAGTATTTGATAGAAATTTCTATTTTTAGTAACCATATATCACCGTACGTTCAACAAAATCAAGCATATATCTTAGAGTAGTCTACTTGTATGCAAAGCTACATTGAAATCAGACCAAAACTTTTAGAGGAATAGCATTTTTAAAAAAAAAGTTTACAGAAAAACGGACACCGTGCAATTGCACAAGCTCTTCTGGATTTCTGACAAGGAGAGCTAAAACAAATGCAGAAAAAGTTTGCATAAACTTCCATTTTAAAATTTCCCATTTTACTAAAGGCTATAATTGTGAAAAAAATGAATTTTCTAATTATTTAACTGAATTACTTATTTACGAAAGCCGGATAGGCTCATTTTTGACAAGACAAAAAAATATTTAACTCGTTATAACGAGATAATTATCTCGTAATAACGAGTTAGTATCTCGTTATAACGACTTAGTATCTCGTTATAACGAGTTAGTATCTCGTTATAACGACTTAGTATCTCTTTATAACGAGTTAGTATCTCGTTATAACGAGTTAGTTATCTCGTTATAACGAGATAATTATCTCGTTATAACGAGTTAGTATCTCGTTATAACGAGTTAGTTATCTCGTTATAACGAGTTAGTTATCTCGTTATAACGAGAAAATTATCTCGTTATAACGAGTTAGTTATCTCGTTATAACGAGTTAGTATCTCGTTATAACGAGTTAGTTATCTCGTTATAACGAGTTAGTTATCTCGTTATAACGAGTTAGTTATCTCGTTATAACGAGATAATTATCTCGTTATAACGAGATAATTATCTCGTTATAAAGAGATAAAAATTGATCTAAAGAGTTGATATATCCAAGTAAAGAATATAAATGTACTATTATTTATAGGAAATAAACAGAAGCCAGTCGATCAAATTTGTTTGAAGTGTGCCTGATAAAGATTTTGTGGAACAACAGTATACTAGTTTTTGTGTTATGCTTTTGATTAGTATTGTTCATTGAAAAGACCGAAAACAAATATACGGAAACTTATGACCGCCTCATGTTGTTGTGTTATACCTTAAAATTGCAAAATAGAATTAGTGTCATCTTCAAATGGAATGGATATAACGTCAAAATGTTGTCAACTTGTACAAGGAGATCAGAAAAAAAAAGATATATTCTGGCTGATTTAACTGGCCTGTTCAAGCTTTCTTGACTATGTTAAAATTATGATAATTTTTGCGTAATATTTGTCGCAATAGAAAATGCATAGAAATAATCCCATTATTTTATATATTCCGAATTACTAATGTCGATATGATACCATTTGTTAGGCTTTAACGTCCATATTTTGAAAATTCCTTGCCTGTTAACAATTAAGAAATACCAGTTCATTTTTATCGTCTTAAAGGGGCAGGGCAAGATCAAAATTCAATGTCTGACAAAAAAATAAATTCACGTTGTTTTTATCATCAATCCCTCCTTCCCCGCAATAATAAATATGATGAATTTCAAGAACTAATACTGTATTTATCACTTAATAATTTATATATTTCTTTTGTTTATTAAAAAAAAGAAACATTTTAATTTACCAATTTGGCATGAAATCTCATGTACAATATGTATTTTAAGCGTTATTATCAATGTGATAGAATAAAAAAACTTTTGGGGCTCTTTATTCTACGGAAGTCACAATAAAAAGACGAAGGTCACCAGGCTGAAATGTAGTGCATGTAGGAAATTCACATGCCTTACTTTGACAATAGTAAAAACAGTTGAAATGTTTGTGATAGAATGAAAGTTTAATATCTAAAGTTTACAATATGATACGCATTAATTAAGGTGTATTTCAAGCATAAATTATGCCTAGAAATATGTATTGTATCGTGAGACAGGATTTTTGATATTTTCACTCGTGAAAATATAAAAAAAAAAATCCTGTCCCACTCTTGAAATAAATTCCATAACAACTACAAAACATTGAATATCCTCTATTTATACCCCCCCCCCCCCTAAAAATCATCAATCTCTTTTTGAAATAAAAATTATATGCTTGCATGCAAAGTATACATAATAAATATTGTGATGAGGAAAATAATTAACGACATTGCTTCAATGTTTTATTAATAATATTTCCATTTCTAATTTGTTTTCTCTGTGATAACTCTTTGAAAGTTAGGAGAGTTGATTTCTTGATCATTCTAACGGAATGCAAATTTTGCCAAGCGAAAGGTCAGTAGCTAAGAAGGCATAATATGCATGTAATTCTCGTGCCGCTGTCGTTGTGTTTGACGTCAGTGGGCGGGGACTATTGAAATTGACATGTGAGGCCTCGTGTAATTTAAATCTATTAGTCTACATTTTTTTAAAATCAAAATTTACAATTTTATTTCAAAATGAAATGGAAATATAAGGAATCACTGTCTAGTTAGTAGAGTATGCCAGGGACATCAACGATAGTTGGAAACGTGGGATAATTTATGCATAACGGGCTTGTAATACATGTATAGTATTAGTCCTATTCGTTGATCAATCCTAATTAAAAAGGTTATAAAAGTGAACTGGCTTTGTAAACTCTGTAAACTTTTTTTTGTGTGTTGTAAACTCTGGTTTGATGTTTTGTCACCATGTGGTAAACATAGGATCCGCCAAATAGACGTGAATCTCAAATCTACGTGAATCTGCACAGCTTGGACCCCCCCCCCCCCCGCAAAAAATATAAACAGTGAATCATGACAGAATATTAGATAAAATGTCAATATCAGCAGATCAAATCATCGTGGACAATCTGCATAAGCTTAGTCACAAAGTTCGGGGGGGGGGGGTTAAACCAAGTAAAATATTTGACAAGCAAATAGAAAAAAAAGAGATTTGATAT